GTGTGTGAATGTGTGTGGGAATGTATGTGAGAGTGTGTGTGAATGTGTGTGTGTGTGAGGGTGGGTGTATGTGAGTGTGTGTGTGTGAATGTGTGTTTGTGGATGTGTGGGGGGGTGGGTGTATGTGAGTGTGTGTGAATGTGTGTGGGAGTGTATGGTGTTTGTGTGTGTGTGCAGGTGAATGTGTGTGCGTGTATGATTGTTCAAATGGGGACGATGCCAGGCAGCCGCTCAGCGCTAGAGCCCAGAAGGCCTGAGTTCCCCTGAAATGTGCCACCTGTCAAACACCGAGTCAGTGCAGTCTTTCATTGTTTCTCTTGGGCCTTGAGGAATTTTCGTTCTGGAGAATTGAAATGCCTCAGTGCCTCTCCTTCCTGCTCCCTTTGGGAAGGCCCCAGGTGTGCTGGGCGGGCAGCACCGAGGCCAGCCCTGGCAGGAGCCGCTGGTGTGACTCCTCGTCCTCTCTTCCAGCCGGTGGCTGCCTGCAGGAGCACAGTGCGGATGTCGGGCCTGCAGGCGCAGGAGGTGTGGGCTCACTGCCGCTGGCCCTCCACGTCCGAGTCTGACAGCAGTGAAGAGGTAGGCCCCTCCCCTGGTCTCCTTCCAGACAGGCCTCCGAGGGTCTGTGTGGCCTGTGACAGGCAGAGTGGCTTGACAGGGTGGCTGCGGTGTCACCAGGCCTGGGAGGGAGGAGCTCACCTGTGCAGCTAGATTGTTTCCGTGTCTCCTGCGTCTCCCAGACTCTGTCTTTATTCTCTCTCACTGTCCCTCCCTCTTGCTTTCCCCCCTCCTCCAGGGACTCCTCCACCTTGACATGTGGGGCCTGGTTTTAAAGTAAAGATCGGCAGCTCGTCAGTTTTAGACCTGGGAATGTAGTCGGGTGGGCTGTAGAGGGCCATTTTCTGCCCAGTGTTCACAGCTAGCTCCGCGGTCCAGGTCGGGACTCCTGACCTTCACGTCACCCTGGTCACCTGCAGCTTCTTGACCTGGTGAATCCCAGTGATCAAGTCCACTCTGTGGGCTGCTAAGAGGCACCGAAGAGCTGATGCCACACAATCTCAGCTCAGGGTCTGGAGTAGGGTAGATGGTCAGGGAGTGGCATTGGAAGTGACTTAAAATAACACTATAAAATTAATAACATAAAATTCTGTCTTGAAATTATATTACATGTTTATGTGTCTATTTATTTGTCAATAAATAAATACTAGACTGTACCTCTCCTGTGGGCAGGGAATGTTCGTTTTTATCAGCCTAGGACACTGTCTGATACCCAGTAGGTGCTCAGTAAATATTTGTTGAGTTAATGCAACTGGGGAGGAAGTGACCCAGAATCCAGTATGAAGAGGAGGCCACTTGACTCCAAACCAGGGTAAAGACATCACGTCTTTATAATATATAAATAATGTAACATCACGGTTACATTATTTGTTCATTCAAAATAGGGTAATATTCTTGATAGGTATTCAAAAATTCTTCCACTATTATACAACTGTATCCATCTAACATATTTCTCAGCACTTTCTATTTTTATTCAACTTTTGAAAATTTAATTCTGCAGTGCAAATTACATTAGAAGAGTGTAAAATCTCTCTAGTTCAGGAACTACACATAAAAGTTTATGTCCTCATGTTATTAACCTAGCCACACTGACTATTTTGCCTGGAAGTCCATTTTAGAATTAGGAAGCAATGAACCTCATATTGCATGGGAAGCTCTTCTTGGTGCAAAGGGGAAATAAAATTCAATTCATAAAATTGAGCATCACCTTATGGGCTGACTCCTGCATGCTGGCAGCCTCCAAGGGCCAATTCCCAGGTCATTTCTGAGCTGGCTTGTCCTGTCCCTTAAGGATCTTTTCTTGGTGTGGGGACAAGTGCCAAGTGGCTCCTGGTGTACACTGTTAAACTCATGTCAGTCTTCACAGTGTCACACACATGGCTCTGCTCACCCAGAAGCAACTAGGACCAAGCATGTCTCCCACAGTAGCTTACGTGGGGGAGGAGGTGGGGAGTGAAGCAGGCAGGTGCTGGTCCTGGTGGAGGTTTTACAGTGACCTGGGGAAGGCGTCCACCATATGGGGATTACTGACTACAGGCAAGCGTCTGGGACCATGTGGTGACAGGAAGGAAGACCATGCATGGTGGGCAGACAGGGCTACCGGAGGAACCATGTCCAAACCAAGAGCTAGTCTGTGGGTGGAAGCCAGAACAAAGGGGCAGGGTGAGCGGGGGGCTTCCCGGCACAAGAAATCATTGGGGGTACCCCAAAGTGCCCGGGAAGCTGATGAGTTAAAATGGACAGAAATCCATGAGGAATGGAATTAGCAAAATGTAGGGGGATGGGCACAGGTGGGGATGAAGAGGAACAGCCGCCAGTGGAGGGGACCTCAGGGTCCAGCCAGGTGGAGGAGGGGCTAGTGGTCATGTCCACCATTCCTGGCCTCCTCCTAATGAACAGGGGATGCCAAAGGATCAGATCAAGAATGGATTGGCACCAGGTGAGAGTAACTATGGAGTCCTGGGGGTGGGCACAGAGGGGAGAGGGAATGCTGGCAGAGGTTGGGCTCAGCAGTCAATGCAGGGAGAAATGGATTCTAGTTCATTCCATGGCCTTTAACACAAGTGAAGTTCCTTTAATAAGTGTCCACCTAGCTTAACCCCTCTTCCATCTTTGGTTGGGAAAGTCCATTCTGATTGTGCAATTCTCCACTCCATTCCAACTTTCTAGCCGTGTGGTGAGATCATTCTCTTCTCTTCCAATTCCAGGCTTTAAATTCTGATGTTAAACTATGTCAGCCTCTGAAAACAAGATGAATTTGAAAATAAACTCTCAGGTTTCTTGCTCTTAATATTAGAGGATCATAAAGAATTATAAGCAAATTGAAAAGAAAAGAATTTCCACACATTCAAGGAAGTAGTATAAAGGGAAACGAAGGAAATTGAGATTTAAAATAATACCTGAAAACCCTGAAATGCAGTTCTTTTAAAATTTTTATTTTAATTGACAAATAATAATTGCACATATTTATGGGGTGCAATGTGATGTTTTGATCTATGTATGTATTAAAGAAAGATTTCTTACACAAAACAGAGAAAAAAGTTAGGAAATAGCCGTCAGCCACTTTCAGTGAAAGTACCTGGTGATATTACAAACATGAAAGACCACCCACCAGGATGAATTCAGTCACAGAACAGCAAAAAAAATCACTGTTAAAGGTAAAAAATGGAAGAAATAAAACTCAATAAGAAGCCCCAGAATACGGAAAGTAAAGATCATTTGACAAACATGCGTAGAATACAGAAGAATTTCCAGAGTGGGGACTATAACATCAGGAAAAAGGAAATCAAAGGAATTGAGAAAAGAAGCTTCTAAATTTGTAGACACTCTCCTCCTCTCCTTAACAAACAGGCTGTGAATTGAGGGTAGTTTCTGTCTTTTTTTTTTTTTTAAGTGGAGTCTGTAGCGCAGGTGGGAGAGGAGCACCCACTCAGCCACACCCTGGTGGCAGCCATCTGGCCTGCGCTGCGGGCCCTGCCAGGTGGGCGCTCCTTCTCCTCTCTGGCCTCCTGGAAGCCAGCCTGACCGTAGACACTCCTCTGACTTGGAAGGGGGGCGGGTGAGTTTGGCAGAGCTTCAGCCAAGAGACGCCCAACCATCCAGAAGAGAGGGGCCCCGAGGCAGAGTCACAGCAGCAGCCCTTGGCTCAGGGAAGGAGTGATTGATTTGCTGTTTTTCCATTTCAAAAGATAGAAATTCGAACACTAGTGCAAATCCAAGAAGACAGAAATAGGCTAAGCCAGGAAGGGATGATTCCCTGGATCCCATTCCCAGAAAGGGAGGGAGGAGTTGGCCTCACAACTGACTCACCTAGGTGCCGGCCCTCCTTCCCCTTTCCTTCCCCATCCCTCCTCCTCCTCCTCACAGAAGAGCTTTCTCCTTGAGTCCAGAGGCAAGCACACGGTGCCTCCAGGTTCCCCACCTGAGCATCTGTTATCTCAGGTTGGAGGACTCTCCTGGCCTCCCTCACACTGGCCTGGCGTGGGTCACGTGTCCCCTACTTTGTACATATAAATTTACTGTTTATTTATTGATTGAGTTTATTTCTGATGTGCAACGTGATGGTTCTTTTTTGGAAGGTGAGAATTGAACCCAGGGCCTTGCACAACCCGGGCAGGTGCTCCACGCCTGAGCCACATCTCCAGACCCTAATGTAGCCCTCAAATAACACCTTTCTCAAGAGGTGATTCCCATGCCACACTATTCATGTCTTTAATGTGCATAGTTTGGTGGTTTTCAGGAGATTCACAGGCTGTCGCACTGCCAGCACGGTCTAAATTCAGAACACTTCCATTTCTCTGAAAAGAGACTTCTGGACTGAGTCATTCTCTATTCCTCACTATTCCCCAGCCCTATCATCAGTCACTGATCTGATTTTTGTGGGTGAATCTTTCCATTCTGGCTGTTTTCTGTAGGTGGAAACATACATGACCCTTTGTGACTGACTGGTTTAACTTACCATGTTTTGAGGGTTCATACATGTTGTAGAATGTATGAACATGTTCATATGTAACCTTTACAAAGGGATAAAAGGTACTTTATTTCTTTTTATTGTTGAATAATTTCCCATTGTATGGATGTGCTACACTTGATTTATTTGTTCATTAATTGATCAACATGTGGGTTGTTTCTACTTTTTAATTATTGTGTATAATGTTCTGAATAGTCAAGTCACATCTTTATGAGGGTATGTGACTTTAGCTCTACTGAGAATTGAACTGCTGGATCACATAGTAGCTCTTTAATTAACTTTTGAGGAACTGCCAAACTATTTCTGGTAGCAACTGCACCGTTTTACATCCCTAAAAGTGGTCCATGAGGGTTCTAATTTCTACATATTCTTGCCAACACTTGTTATGGACTGTCTCTTACTTTAGCCATTCTGGTGGGTGTTAAGTAGAATCTCAATATGGTTTAATTTTCATTTTCCTAGTGACTAATGATCAGCCATTTGTATATCTTCTTTGGAGAAATGTCTATTCAAATCTTCTCCCCATGTTTTAATTGGGCTGTTTATCATTTTATTGTTAAGTTATTCACAAATATTTTATCTTACTTTGTGTGTCTTTTCACCTTCTTGATGATACTGTTTGTTAAGTCCATTGTTTCTCTTTTGTTGTCTGTGTGAGTCTTACATTTAAGTCTGATCTATTTTGACCTGGTTTTTGTATGTCATGTGAGGAGAGGGGTCCAATGACGTTGACTTTTTCTCGTTGTTTCCAGTTGTACCAGCATTAATGTTGAAAAGACCATTCTTCCTCCACCGAATTGTCCTGGCATGTGCCCCTGCCCAGGGCCACCCACCATGTGGGGCCAGGGCACTCCCCATGGCTGTTCAGGAAGGAGCAGGCAGCAGGCGGGCAGGAAGGTGGCTTCTTGACACCTGTGTGGACTTTCAGTGGTTTCATGAGAGCTACTTGTAGATGTTAACACCTTGTTCTACTGAAGAAATTGTGGGACCGTCACAGAGAGAAAACTCCAGAATCTGACTCATATTTAGTCTGTTTGCAAGTTGATAAAACGAAATTCCGTTTTTAGTCTGCAACGTTTGGAAGTATGTTCCAAGTCACTGATGGCTTTAGAGTCAGTGTAGACTTCACCCCGTTGCTCTTCCTTGCGTGCTTTCTGGAACAGGGGTTGGGCGTTGCATGGAATCACTTCATACAATATGCATTCTCATTGCATTAAAAAACATTATAGCTCAGAGTCCTCTGGATAATATTTAGGATTTTTTTAACCATATATTTTCTTTTTCATGTGCCGACACCTACTGATATTGCTTACATTTCTTCAGATGATTTTTGGGGACATGATGAGGTCCTATAGGTGGAGAAACAATGATCTACTTGGTAAGTTGAGAACTGTTCTTTTTTCCTTCTGAAACAATCGCATATCACCTTTCTTTGTGAGTCATTTGAAAGTAGAAACACCTAGGTACAGCCTTTGATCAATTGCACTAGCTGCAGAAAATAAGCATTTCTTTTCACTTTGCTCCTTTCTTGTCACTAAGTAATAATAATAATAATAATAATAATAATAATAATAATAATAAACAAATGCCAAATGTCTTCTTTGATATAAGGAGAGTAACTAAGAACAGAGTAGGGTCGAAGAGCATGAGAAGAAGATTAACATTAAACAGGGATGAGAGGTGGGAGGGAAAGGGAGAGAGAAGGGAAATTGCATGGAAATGGAAGGAGACCCTCAGAGTTATACAAAAGTACATACAAGAGGAAGTGAGGGGAAAGGGAAAAATAATACAAGGGGGACAAATGAATGTCAGTAGAGGGGGCAGAGAGAGAAGAGGGGAGGGGAGGGGAGGGGAGGGGGGATAGTAGAGGATAGGAAAGGCAGCAGAACACAACAGACACTAGTATGGCAATATGTAAATCAATGGATGTGTAACTGATGTGATTCTGCAATCTGTATATGGGGTAAAAATGGGAGCTCATAACCCACTTGAATCAAAGTGTGAAATATGATATATCAAGAACTATGTAATGTTTTGAACAGCCAACAATAAAAAATTAAAAAAAATATATAGAAGAATCACACACACACACAAAAATAATAATACAATTATTCCTGTAGGTATTTCTCTATATTTTTTCATAGCTTTTCCATATCCAAGTCTATGTGGTGACCCCACATCTCTGCAAACAGATGAGGCCAAAGCTGATCGCCCCTCGTGAGGGTGCCGTCATTTGAACACCCTTGTTCCCCCTGGTGCACTCTCTGGGTTGCAGGGCCCGGGTGGGCACTGATGTGTAGCTGAGGGGATCAGGACTCACCCACATCTGACAGATGGGGGTTGACCTCTGTAGTCCCCACTGTGCAACTTGAGCTGACATCTCTGAGTCTCCTGGTTGGGGGAAGAAGGGTCTTCTCTTCTGGCCTCTAATTTGAAATGGGGTTGGCTAGTGTTCTGTGACTTAGGAGCCATCTTTATGTCTCTGATGCTTTTTCCTGTTGGTGCTAATGGTGCAAAATTCTTTGGTGACTGAAGCTTCTTTGTTTAAGAGGCATTTTTGTGATATCATTTACACAATACTAGAACATTCTGGAAGTGGGCAGAGGAGCCTCATCTTATGGCTCTTACTGTGTTACAGGTCTCATTCCTGAGGAACCCAGAAATGAGCAATATTATGATCCGTCGCTTGGTAAGTGGTTTATTTCCTTCTGTTCGACACCATCAGACTCTTTTCTGATCAACCCAGCCTGTGCTAAAGCCATTCCATAGGCGTCAGACACCAACATACAAAATATTTTAACTGAAAATGAAAAGAGTAGTGACGCAGGAGGCTGCTTGGCAAATCAGTGGAAAGGTAACATCGAGGCACCAGCTCATTTGAAAGTTATCAAGAATTGAAATGTTCCTGTGCCACCCCAGAGCAGTCTCTGAGCAGTCCACACTGATAATCTGTTCGCCAGACACAACCCACCTCCTCAAAAGTGGTGAAGCTAACTGGTCCCTTCCCATAGCACCTGCTTTCCCACTGAATCTTTGCAATAGCTCTGCAAACCAGCTATGCCCCCTGTTTGCACAGGCGAAGGCATGAGAGGTAACTCAGGGCACGGACTGGCAAATGCAGAAGCTTACCCTACAAATGGCTCACCCCGTTCCCCACCCCACGCGCGGCAGCTCTGTTAACACTTTTTGTAGGTGAACAGACTAAGGCGGTGCATCCTAACTTGCTCAAGGACACACCGCCAGAGTAGGACTTCCATCCAGGCTGCTCATGGCAAACAAGGCTTTGAACAGGTCTGTCTAAACCTGTGTCCTATTTATTTTCCAGAAGCCTGATGAAGTTCAGAGTCTCCTAAGTTCAGAGTCTCCCACTAAAGTGCTTAACACATGCTAATATTCTGATGAGCTCAGTGTCTGAAGATTAGGCTTATGATGATTTATTTGAGTGCTAGGACTTAAACCTGAAGCTTATTTTTGAAAAATGCCTGTCACTTTGGGAAAATATGAAGTTACTTTAACTGTGACCACTGCTGAAAATGTTCTTTTAGCAGTCATTCGGGAATTATCTTCAGACTGTCTATTGCTGTGTGTCAAAATTTCCCCAAATTTAGCAGCTTAAAATAACAAACTCAATCTCCCAGCTTCTGGGGATCAAGAGCCCAGGGGCAACCTAGCTGGGGGGTTATGGCTTGGGGGTTACAACAAGGTTGAGACACGCTATCAACGGGGACTGTGATCTCAGCCGAAGCTTGACTGGGGGTGGGAGATCCACCTGCCAGTCATGCTCGAGCTTGTAGGAAGGTCTCAGTTCTCCACGGGCTTTGGCCTGAGAGCTACAGTTTCTCACCATACGGGCATTTCAGTGAGGCTGTGTGAATGTCGTGCAAAGATGGCGGCATTTCCCCAGGGACGATGGAGATAAGTATATAGAGAGGCAGGGGGGAGAACACGAGTATAAGCAAGGGAGGGAATGCTGAGAGGCGCGGTCTTCCATAACCTCACCTTGCCAGTGGCCAGTGATAGATCTTCACTACTCACGAAGACAACCCTGGCCCGGGGGAGGGTGCTGACAGGAAGCAAGACACCAGGAGGTGTTGGAGGAGGACCTCTGTAGATGCCATTTGAAGATGAAAAATATTTTATGGATTAGATTAATGTGACCAATCCTGTTATATATCTCAGATGGGACCTCTACGCCAAATTCTAACCACTCTTGGGCCTTGGGAGCATCACGGATGCAGACTTTGAGCCATCTCAGAGGCAACTGTGAACTGGACAATTCAATTCAGTTCAGTTCAACACATGTGTCTGACAGGACAGGGCAGATCCCACAGAGGACTGAAAGAGAAAGGTGACAGTCCCTGCCCTCGGGTGCTCACAGGGATGACTGAGACAGATCCCAGGAGGTGATGCAGGTCAAGGAGAATCACTCTGGGCTCCGCTCTAGCCCCAGGCCACAGGGAGCCGGGGAACTTGATGAGGAAGACAGGTGACGGGGCCTCCGGGTCCTCTTGGCAGTGAGGTGGGGATGCTGGGCACGACCCTTGTCATTAATTTACAGTCCCCTACTCTGTGTCATCATCACGTGACTGATGGGCCTGTGCTTTCTTTTCTATCTTTAGACCTGAGAAGGAGCTTTCCTCCTGGAAATGGAAGGAGCCCACGCTACCAGCACAGACCAAGAGCAAACACTGGCTTTGAGTAACGGCCCTGAGGTGAGGGGGACAGTGAAGTTTGCCTGTAGAAGCAGAGGGGGCTTGGAGTGAACGCCTGAAGCTGGCCGCCTCCCGGCCCCTGCGGTGTGCGGCCCTCGCCACCTGCCCTTCCTCCTCCTTTTACCTCCTCTGGTTACTGCAGAGCAATGGTGTCCTGAGTCCCATGCACCCTCCCTCGCCTTCCAAGCTCCCCCACTCCAAGAGCAAACAGACAAGAAACAGAGAAGACAGCCCCCTCCTCTGACCTGTCTCACCCCCCACCTGCTGCCCTCCTCCCTGACCGCCCCACGCTCCTCAGCACCATGTGGCCTGTGGCTGCCGCCGCCCCAGTCTCCTCCCTTCTCTGCTTCTTTGCAACCCAGATTTTAATCCTTCAAATCTGAAATCTGATCAGATTTCCCTTTCTCGATCTGTAATCAATACTGGCGACATTTGAATGAGCTCCTTACCCAGTGCTTCCCTGTTCTTTGGATTGTCATCTCTTCCTCTTGCTTGACTTTAACCGACACTGATGTGTTTTCAGACGTGTGTCTCTTACCTCACTCTGTACAGAAACCCAGGCCCGATGTCACCGAGGCCGATAGGTGCAGGTGCAGGGAATCTCCGTGGCCTCCTGAGACTCAGCTTCCTGCCAAGCTTCCTTTCTTGACTGATGGCCTCAGCAGCCACCTAAATTGGCTGAGGGCCTCACTGAGCTTCTTCGTCCTGCGTCTCCTCCTCCCAGCATCCACAGGGTCCAGCACTGTCCACGTCACCCTGCGTTTTCTCTGCTGCTGGCCCTCACTTCTGCACACCACCCCTGAACCCCTGATTGCTTCTCGCCTGGGGTCCTGATCCCACGCCTTGTGTGCTGCCCCTGTCTTGAACACAGAGGAGACCCGGGCCCTTCTCCACCTACACTCTGATGCTAGCTTCTCTTGTGGAAGAAAGCGGAGGTGTGAGGAAGCCAGACGGGAGCCCAGCAGAGGACGGCCTCCACATTCCCCCGGGGCTGTGGGGAGCTGCAGACAGGGCCCTGCTGTGTCACACCAGAGTCTCACCGGGACCTAAGTTCCCAGTGTCTAGGGATCAGAGCCAACAGAGCTAGGTGCTTTTTAAAGATTTCCAAGTATTAAAGGGGCATCACGAATGGCACATTTGAAAGGAACCTCAAGATGCAATTACAGATGTTGATTCAGTGTGTAGTTATGCTTCCCAGCTCTCTCTCTCTCTCTCTCTCTCTCTCTCTCTCTCAACACATACTGGACAGTTTATATAACACTGCGTGCTTTCAGGCATGAGGTCCAGATGCCCTGGCATGGCCCTCAGTGGCCTGTAAGCTCCAGCATTACTGAATCCCCGCACCTCCTGCTGCTGCAGTCCCCAGATCACCAGCTCTGCCCCTGTGTTCGGGCCTCGGCTCAGCTCCCACTTCATGATGCCACAAACCACCAAAGCCAAGAGGATGATGTCCTTCCTGGGGTTTCCATAGCCCTCATTGCAGGACATTGCAGTAGCTTGTCTCCTCTGCCCTTCAGGCTCTACCAGACTCCCCGAGAGCAGGGCTCGGGACCTTCCCCTGCCCTCATCCCTCAGGGCCCTGCACCCAGCCTGGGACACTCAGTACATCAGCGTCAGCAAATATTTTATAAGTGGATGTTGGCAAGCTTCACTTCGGGTTCTTGAGAGTTTTTTGAAAAAAAAAAAAAAGTCTATGTCTTTGAGTCAAGCACAGCATAATTAATTTTTAACCACCAGAATTTAAAAGAAGTCAACTGACATTTTACAAAAATAGCAGGAATACTCACCAGCAAGGCCGTCTTAGATAAGGATGCAAGTGGTAGATTTTCTTTTTCATCTATGGCACATGCTAAAAATAAAAACCAGCTTCATACTGAGATCAAGAAACTATTCACTATGAAGGAAAAGTTTCATCATATTTTTTTTTTATAGATGCAAATTGCTGGGGTTTTTTTTTTGCCTTGTGGAGCAAGGGGGGTGGGTAGGATTCTCAATGGACTGGCTGCGTGGTATATTAGTAACATGATTATGAGTTAGTAATGAAGGATATAATTATGCTGGTGGATATACACATACATGTATAGCAACATAAATGCACCATCCGATTTTGGCAAAGAAACATGTCTTTAGAGGTAACACAGACTGAAGACCAAATGTGGCAGTCCTGGCCTGGCCCTTGACCTTGGCTGGAGTCCCAGTTATGTCCCTGTACAGGAGGTCACGACTTTCTGCAGGGCAGGTGTCTACACTGCTCTGGGCCCCCTAGAATCCTAAAATGAGGCTAGTAAGGCCAGCACAGGGGATCCAGTGACGAGGCCAATCCAGAGGCAGGTGGAACCTGGGTCTGGTTCTGAGTCTCTCCTCCCACAGCCACCACCCAGCCGCTGACCCGTGACCTCTCAGGTTTCTTCAAATGTTTGTTACCATGCTTTGTTCATTTTTGTTTCCACTAGACCTTGAAACCCTTGAGGATGCATTACCTTGTTACCTTCATTAGTTATTTTAGTTTAAGAGCAAGTAGAAATACTACATGTCCACATAAAATTATTGACAGTAGCTGTGTCAGTGTCACGATGCTAAGAACAGAGTATCATAATTGGTCAGGGTGAGCGGAAGGAATGAAGGAACGCCTGACCGAAAACAAGATTGCTATTTTCAAATTGCCAGTAAAGTTTTTCCTCTGGGGAACTCTCTGGGGCCTGAGAAATGGCTCATTTATCATGAAATCCCCAGAGCCTGACCCAGTCCCTGGATTAAAACAGGAGCTGAGTGTTTCTGTAATTTAATAAACTATTCTAGTATTCCTTCAGGTAGCTAAAAATGATTTAATACATAAATAGATGGTGAAATGCAGTATTTAATAAAATAGTTCAGAAATTTTAAAATTTGAACTCAACAGTAGGAAATATGGAAAACCAGGCCCCAGCTCTCCTGTTGAAGGGATCTATTTGAGAGTGCTGCACTTTCTTGGGGTCTG